CGATGGTTTCCTTATTGAATCTTTCGTTTATTATATGATTGCCTTCTTTCTCGTTAATTAGTGCTAAATAACATCACGTCACAAAAATGCATATTCGTAGGAATATAATATATAATATATTTATATATATAATTAAAAAAACACGTGGTTCTTGGGCCACTTTGAACTAATGTTCGCAACATTTCGGCCCATGGATCACACAATATCCGCCTGACACGTGAGAGGTGGCTAATCACGATATAAACCCCGAATGATGTGAATGATTTTCTCAAAGAAAGAACATGATGTGCTGCGAATATTCTCATCATTGTTTAATCGGGGCATTGGCCGGGCAAAAAAAAGAAAAGCGCGCACGCGCGCGGCTACGGCATCGCCAGCCACAGTGTGTGTGTATGTGTGGTGCATTATCCTAAAATGCAACCGATAACCACCCCAGGCACCCCAGCTGCCACACCGATTATCAGAGTACAAAAGAGGAATAAGGAAATCAGGGAGAGACAGAGCGGAAACGAGATAGGAAGGGTAGGAAGTGGGTAGGAAGATGATAAGAGTAAAAATGGGAAAGGAATACGATAGTGATACTTTTGGGGCGCCTTTTTAACCAGGGCGGAGCCGGTGGTATTATCGATAAACGCTAGTACCTAGATCAGTCTAAGAATCTCGTCACCGTGAACTGTCTCCGCTTTAGCCAAGTTATGCTTCCTTGCCCCCGCAAGCCGAACTCTCTCTTTAATCGTATCTCTGCATCTATGCATGTGTGTGTGTGTATACATGTGTAATATATATAACATATCCTCTTGCTTTTTTCATTATCTTTTTTTGCCTTTATTCCTTTATCATACTCTTATTATTTCCTTTTATTAATTACATTTTTTTGCACGGAAAAAACCAGAATTTTTTCTTTTATATTGGAATATTATCATGTGTCACAAAAACCCACTCAATTATGATTAGCAATATCATCCTTATCATATTGTTAATATTAATATTATTATATCCTCGATATTATGCTTTTATAAATAGGATGTGTAGGTAAGAGTAGGTAGATAGATATAAAATATGGTAGGCGAATAATCAGGGATAGTGGAAAGGGAGAAGGGGACACGAAAGGAATGAAAAATAGATAGATAGCGAATGCAAACCGCGATTTCGCAATTCGCTCGAATTTTCCTTTCCTTTTCTTTTTTTTTCGTTTTTAGAAACAATGATCGCAATTACTGGGGACAAGACATGTGTATAAGAAAGAGGAATTTTTCTTTCGTCTAATCGCGTGTTATTACTAGATGTGGTTAATTCATCGTTATCAGTAAAACAGTATCGATGACGAAGAAGAATTAGACTTAAGTAAAAACATGAATAAAAATTAACAAAATGCTCGTAAAACACGAGGTCGGGCGAATAATCTATCGTCATTCCAACATTTCGTCCATTGGTGCGTCTATCGTTTCGCATTTTTCACATTGTGTTGTGTGTATTTTGTGTGTGTGTGTGTGTGTGTGTGTGTGTGTGTGTGTGTGTGTGTGGGGGGAAAGGGGGAAGTGGGAATATAAAATTCTATGATAGGATGTATATGCGATCTTTTGTATATCTGGTTAGTCAATCTGTGGCATACTCGTTCGATGTTAAACACTCTCAACATCTTATTACATATATCATCCATCAATTCTATTATTGTACCAAATCCAATCCGAGAGGCTAACATATAACCATTATTATATGTCAAGTGTCATACGTATCCACGTGCATGCGAGCGTACGTATGTATGCATGTGCGCGTATGTGCGCGTGTATATGTATGTAATAATGGAATGAGTGAGTGTGAATGTGCGCGCGCATGCGTAGGTATATGAACGGGATAAGTGTGAAGTTGTGTGTATGTATATATGTATGTGTGTGTCGTCTCATTTGGTATGTTATAACAAACAGAAGTCTGATATGCTATTCCGTTATTACAATATCCGTTTTCTCTTTTTTTTTATTTTTATACCGTATTTGTCTTCATATTCCGGGGGTGCGTGTAAAATACAAATGATTTGCATATGTTTTCTTTTTTTCTCCCCTTTTTCAAATAATCATCCAGAACAGGGGGTGTCTGGGCTCCAGGGACAGGGACCAACTACAGCCCGCACTTACAACTCTTACTAATTAACTAACAGACTAACAATAACAACAAGTCAACACTCAAAATGTGTGCTGTATGTGTTTCATGCATTTGTAAACATTACATTTTACATTCTACTTCAATCTGTGACTATCATTATCAAATTCATAGTCAGTCATCTTTAAAAACTTCTCTTCCTTTCTTTTTTTTTATAAAAGAATACAAGAAACAAATTTACTTTTTACATAAAATTTAGAAGAAACAATACACTCTTTTTTATTTCCCTTTCAAAGGGAATAGATTCACTTTAGATATTTGTTTTCAACGATTGATTTTTTAAATATAAAAAAAAGAAACACATTAACAAATAAATATATTATAATTTAGATCCGAGTTTGCCTTGCTACTTGGATACTGTCATTGAAAAATTTACTGTACAAGTGGGTTTTCTCTCGATTGTGAGCAATACTCTTTTTTTCCATTTTCCTTTTTCTTATCCAATAGAACCCTGGCATGACTGTAACCAAAACCTAATTTAGGAGACATTCGCAGAACCGTTGCAACTCGTTTCATACTCTCTACTTTCACAAAACTTTGCCTGTGTGACTCTTAATAATAATAGTTTCACTGTACACATTTATAGACCAACAATAGAAGGTCTTGTGGCACGCTTGGCGCGCTCCACGCACAAATACACACACACAGACACATTCCGTTTAAAAACAATTTCTCTCTCTTTCTCTCTCTCTCTTCCTCTCTCTCTCTCTCGCTCGCTCTCTCTCTCTCTCTCTTTCTCTCGCATATTTACTAAATATCGCATTCTCGCCCTGCGTCTTCTGCTTGTCTACACGACCTACATTTTCTATCTCTTCAAAGTGAACTTCCGTCTTTTCAATTTCTATCTTTCGTTTGTAACTTCTCCGTTTTTCTCCCTCATGCTATTTATTTCGTCCTATCTAACACACATGCTTCGTCACATAGATTCAAAACATCTAGTCATCGCGTAATAAACCGCAGGCTTCCATGAGTTCTCTTAACTAATACAAGCCATCACAATCCCTATGTCAACATCGCTGATCTTCATCACTTGGCAGTAAACAATGTGACAATGCAGTAGTGGTACTTAGATTAGTATTAGTATCATAATAATAATAATAGTACGGGGTGGGTGGGTGGTCACACTCCGATATAATAATTAGTCTCAGTGGCACATCACTGTACATAATCACAATAACAGTGGGCGATGGTGGTGGCGCAGAATACAGTTGCTGCGTATCATTAATATGAAAAAACATTTACATTATTTGAATTCGATTAAGAGCGATAATAATACAAATGGATGATCTCTTTCCTTCCCTTCATCTCGAGTTCCCCCTCCCCCCCTCTCTCAACGTTTCGTCAGTCTGATTTTATTTTATTTTTTTCCCTTATATTTTATGTTTTTTGTTTCTCACTTCGTTTATCATGCATTTGTTCGTGCATATTTTTTTATCACTCACAGGATTGCAGAAGTTAGCTCCACGACTGGTAAGAGTCTTGATACCATTCGTGATCGTCGCCGGAAACACCGCCGAGTGTGCCGGCTCTACCTCCAAAAGCTATGTCACCGCCACCACCACCACTGCCACCATTTACACTCGCCAATCCATATGCATTGCCCAGTGGTTGTTGGGCAAGGGGCTGGTTTCCCCAATTGCTCTGGAAGCGACGCTTAGATTCCCCCTGGTTCTGGTGACCCCCGTCAAATTTTCGTTTACCTGCTGTAAGATATTAAGATGATAAGATCGATAATTATGCGAAAGAAAGTCTAAAGTATTAATATTAAATTAACAAACACTCCTTTTTACCATTGTGCATGACGCTTGTAAAATGTTACATAAAGGAAGATGAAGAAAATTTCGAGAGTTCTTGTGTTAATACATGTGATGTGTTCGTAAAAATGTTAATATGTACGGACATACTGTGATAATAGTATGAAATAGTAATAGTGAAGTTTATCTATTTAATTGATTCTATTGACTTTACAAAATTGCAAGAATTATAGTCTTTCAATTAATATGTGATATAAGCATAAAGAAATTCACTAACCTACAGTTTTATTACTATCAAATGGATGGGACTTGGATACCTTGGTGAGAAGGATTGGATGGTTTACTGTAAGATGAATATTATATGAACAATTCATAACATACATGTGATCATTTGATAAATTAATTATCATGTATGCACTTTGAAAATCTCAAACGACTGAAAATATCATTAGCAAATCTGTAAAAACAGAATTAAATTGTAACTAAATGTTTCTCCAAATAAAATAATTATAAGTTTGTTAAGAGATTCTTTTAGATTCATTATGCAAATTATCTTTTCAAAATAATTAATCATATTTAATGGTTGCATTTGCATTTTGGAAGTGAGGAGATAAACGTTTTAAGCATGTCAACGTTACATATATTTCAACATCAGAATACTTTTTGGACATAAATGTAGGAAAGAAATCGATGTGTGTTGGAAGAAGTTTCTATTTCCGGTAAAAAAAATTATTCAGAAAATAATTTTATTCAAATATTTGTTTATGCATATTAAAACAGCATATTAAAGAAGAGCAAAAATTTACTAAAAAGCAAAAGCGAATATCTAATAAGAGAGCTTTCTAGCGATGAAAATACTACTTATACTTTATAGCAATTAGGATGATTTATATGAAATATTATATGCAAAATTGTGTATAAAATTATAATTAATACTATTACAACAATATAGTTGTATAAATGTATATAAGTAAAAACTTTATGTACATTTGTGAGAACTATCGTGGCAAGATACAATAACAACATTGTTTAACAAGAAAAAGACAAACCATTTTCTGTAGATTTTTGGACGCTGAATACCAAACTGTTTTCTAAATTGCTCCATCATATTATAATTTTGAGAAATTTGCAGTTAAAATTGTAGAAGGAATTATTTTTACATATTTTGTCACATTGTAGCTACGACATGTGATATGTTGAAGAAATTTGATTGCAATCAAAATTAAATATGTTGTTAGAACTTTCAATTCTCAACAGGAATTTTTAACCGATGATTAAAATGATATGATTAATATAATACTCATTAAATATAGGATCTATTATGGAAAAGCTGCAAGTCACTGATGATTTTCTAAATAATTTTCAATTATGTTCATTTAAGAGAATTCTATTTTTTGGGGAATTTTTTTTTTATCAAAGTGTAAAGTCAATACATTTGAATTTTAGAATATTGTTTTACTATATTCAAATGTAATTACAGTTTTTTTTTAAATTAAATTTGGGCCAATATTACGCCTATTATTTCTCCTCAAACATGGTGTTGTGCGAAGAATCTTCGTCACTGGTATGCAAGATATCTTCCGTCCCGGTCATTTGAAATATAAAAATCTGATAGCGTTTAATTTTATATTCTATAGTTATCGTTGGATGAATAAGCAAAAAAAAAATTGATAATTGAGAAAAATCATCGATTTCGCTCTAAAAATTGGCTGAATTTTTTGAATAAAAATAAAAATATATAATGTATTGTTTTTCTTTTTCATCGAACAATAAAGGAATGTTTCCTCAACATACAGTTCAAAGCGGAAGATGATCGATCTATTAGTTTCGTAGATATCGTACACCAGTTGTGAAAAAGCTGTTTCGAAAAAAACATATTTAAAGTTTCAATGCGCTAAATTATACTTGCGCATCGAATTGGCGCGAATCTATTGCTTATAACTTCGCTAATTTTATGAATTTCGATTTGAAATTTGCTGTACATATTTTTAACATTTCATACAATACTATAATATTCCGTAAAAAAATCGATTTTTTTTAATAAAAAAAAAAGGATTCCCCCTTAAATTTAAGACTGGTTTTTCATTTGCTGATTAACTTGTGATTTGAAAGAATTCGGACAATGTGGTTTTAAGCAGTCGTTTTAATTTAGTTTTAATCATCCCGATCAAAATCGATTTTGGGCACGTGTCCTAATCAAAATTGAATAATGGTATTATTTTACCTTGTATTAGCGTTATTAACACAGTTAAGTTAATCATTGCATACATCCAGTAAAAAAATTTTCATACATAATCAAATATCATTATAAAATTATACAAATATACATATACAGTGTTAATACAAGGTAACGATAAATATTTCGCACGGGGACAGAATGGATTAAACTGAGAAGAAAAGTCCCCTATCATTTTACAATTTTCGCAATAGTTCATAAGATATTAGTTAATAAATTAATTGCTAAAAATTGGCGAAAATTGATCTTCAATAATTTTTTATTCAAATATTATCAACTTTACAGAAAAACTGCAAGAGACAAAAATTGATCAAGAATTTTCGACAGTTTTTAGTAATTAATATTTTGTTTACTATTGCAAAAATTATAAAATGGTAGAGGACTTTTCTTCTCAGTTTAGTCCATCCTGCTCTTGTGCGAAAATTTTATCGTTGCTCATCGAACACCCTGTATAAATATAATTATACCTAATCCAGTATACAATTATATGAGCTTATATAATACTGACTAACTCATATAATTATACATACTTTCCAATTACTTAATACATCTTAACATTAACGTACACATCAGGAATGCGCAAAATGTAGCATGTACACGATTCAATTAGAACAGAATGTATATGTTGTGTACGGTTTCGCTCTGTTTAAAAATATAGCTTTTTCTGTCTGTATTGAATGAAAAAAAAGTAAAAATATCAGTCACTCGATGTTTTCTAATCTTATTTATAACTGCCGCGGTTAGCAACATGTAATTATCATTAGAAAACACAAGCTTATATAATCGATTAATAGCTCTCGGGCTGAGTACGGATGTGTCGTGTCGACAATTACAGCAATTGGAACGTAACTTATGCCGCTATGTACACGAAAGTGTCGTGATTTTATAAATGGAAACCTATAAATTCCTTATAATGTGTATTTATATGAATATACATAACAATATAAGTATATACAATATATATATATATATATAAATTTATATATAATTATAAATAATTATAAAATATCCGTTCATCTCTTATTATACATGTATAATCATATGTAAGAGATAAGTATGCAGTTTCATCAAAAGATGTATTAAGCAATTGGGAAGTATGTATAATTATATGAGTTAGTCAGTATTATATAAGCTCATATAATTGTATACTGGATTAGGTATAATTATATTTATATAGAGTGTTCGATGAGTAACGATAAAACTTTCGCATTTCTTGTAAAAAGAAAACGCCCAAGAAGTATCCTATAAGAAGTATCTTAGTGCAAATGTAATCCCGGAGACTCGTCTTAAAGACTCTTTCGAAGTGTATTTTTTGAGCCCCAAATGTTTTGATTACTTTTTCGTGTATTTTGAAATGTGATGCTAATCAATAATATTTAGCAATAAAATTAGATTAATTATTATTTTTAAGATCTTTTTAAATCTAATACGTATTTGATTCATTCATCTCGAGTCTAAGTTACTTTGAAACTGTGTTCGGACGGCGTTATTATTGTAAATTCTGCAAGTGTGTTAATAGCTTTGTTCATTTTTTTTCTTATTCTGAGGTAAGTCTCATTTAAAAATCATAATTGTACTATAGTATAATTAAATGAAAGTGGATTTTATATTTCTGAAAAATACAGAACATGACATTATAAAGATAAATACACACATTTTTTTTGTTTTTTAGTGTAAAAGTATAAGTCGAAAACAAGATTTAAGTATTGACGTGCTGTTATCGTAGCATTACACGGAGAAGATTATTCTACGCGGAAAATAGCATCCAAGATCAAGGTTTTCCAGATTGCAATTATGAATGCGCTGAAGAGGAAGCAACAGATCGAATTAAATAAAAGCCATCGGTCTGGGAGACCTAGGGTAACATTAGAAAGAAAACAAGTTCATCTGCGTGAAAGTAAGCATCAGTGAACTCGAACTGCGTCGGAAATTCGTGAAGAACTGAATTCTACTAGTCAGAGACCAATGTCTTTGATGACTGTAAAACGCCACTTTCGCGACTGCGGGTTAAAAGAATGTATAGTCGCTAAAAAATCACTGCTACAAAATAAAATGAAGAGATTGCAATGGACTAAAAATTGTCAGTAAATCAATAGTATTGTTCTCAGACAAAATTTGATATTTTCGGAGGAAAAACACAAACAGTATATTCGTCGCCAGGTGAGCGCATGATGAATTGTTGATGATCGTATGATTACGGATCATGGCTTAGGGCTGTTTTATCGGTGATAAAATTGGAGATCTCATAAAAATTAAGGAAATTCTGGATAAAATTCAATATCACCATACTTTACAACGTCTTTTCATGTGGAAAGAAAATAATGAGCCGTGGTTTTGTTTTCTAGCAGAATGACGATTCTAAGCACACGTCAAAATTGTGTAAGAAATACCTCGCAAACAAAGAAAAATAAAATGAGTTAAAATTCATGGATTAGTCCACTTAGTTATCTGACTTGAACCCAATCGAATTATTATGGCACGAGTTGAACAATGTGCGACAAATGTGACCAACTAATTAAAATCAACTGGAAATTTTGGCAAATGTGTTGGACTCAAATTACAGCTACTACTTTAAAAAAGTTAATAGAAAGAATATATGTATATATGTGCTGCTGTTCGGTCTAAAGGAAGATACTTTGAAGAGTCAAAAATGAAAAAAAATATAATTTAGTTTATATTTTATGTCGTACGGTATTACTTTTTCTCTTAAAAATAAAGTTGTTAAATTAGAATTAATTATGAAAAACTTATTTATGTATTTCCCATCAATCTGGGGGTGAATTTAAATTTTTGATCGATAATATCCATACATACTTAAAAACTTTTTACGTTTCCGCTCTAGAAGAAGAGTTGCATGACTAATATCCTGGACAATAGTAATTTCGTTTAAAACAATTTAAAGACAACATTATGCGGACAAAGGTTGTTTGTGCAAACGAGTTCAAATGCTGTAACAATAACCTGTTGTTATAAAAGCCACTACATTTCTTTGGAAAATATTATTTTTATAAAATATTTCGTCCCCATTTCCATCAATTTAACGAAAATGGAGTGTCGAACAGTACGTGGCATCATCATCAGACGGACAAAGCGAGTTAAATTTCTTGAATTTAAGAAATCATATAGAAGACATAGCATTAAAATATTCTTCAGTTATGTCTAAGAAAATAATTTTTTTAAGCGAGCCAAGAAGTCCAAAATAAAAGTATAATACGGTTTTTTAAGATGTTTATGTCTAAATAAATGAAACATATAACTTATCTATCTGCAGAACCGTATCGAATATGCCTTTTTTGCGATAATAATTTAACATGCCGCTGGATTATTAACAATTTATTGGATTAAGATTTAGGCAGAAACTGTTTTCGTCATGCCCTGTGGTTATATTATATAATCTATTATATAATCAATTTAAAAGAGCAATTGTTGCTATCAAATAAATTGCTCATAACTATCAGTGGCAATAAAAATCGGTAATTCAATAGACAAAATCAAGTGCTGTTTTCTACAATACTGAAAACAACTTAAGAAAAATAATTTCAAGAGAATTGATGCAGGCAACTTGTAATCCGAATATTTAGTAAATCATCAATAATCTAATTCATAGCTTTTCCGCAATAGATCCCATATTTTATTATTCATAGCAGACATTAAAAAATCCTTTTGAGGGTTAAAAGTTCTAATAACATATTTAATTTTGATTGCAATAAAATTTTTCCAACTTTGCCAGATATCATAGTTATAATATAACAAAATACATGAAAATAACTTCTTTGCAACTTTAATTGCAGATTTCTCAAAATTGTCGCGTGATAGAACAATTTGGAAAATTTAATTTCAATATCCAAAAAACTATTAAAAAATAATTAGTTTTGTTCCGGTATTCGAGAAAGTAATTTTTTGTCAAATAGTATAGCGCTACAATCAAGCAATACTAACAGCTTATGCTGTAATATTAAAAATAAATTACATCTAAAACTATATATCATTTCAACACGTTATAAATAATTTATATATCATGTTTCAACGCGTTATAAATAATTTATATTATTTTAAATTAAAAGCTTATTGCTTATATTAATCCGCAAAATCAAATTGACATAATAAAATAATGCAAAGTTCTAATCTCTCTCTCTCTCTCTCTCTCTCTCTCTCTCTCTCCCCCCTCCTTCTCCCTTCCTAATATTTAAGCGATTAATTATTTCCTATTAAATTATTAATATCATGTATTTTTAAAAAATCTTTAAAAATAATGTCTTAGTAACTTCATCATTAGAATTTTCATACAATAAGAACAAGAACACAACAGTATTGATACGAACTCTCATAAAGATCGTAATAATTAACGATGGTAAAATGTGCGCGTGCTTGTGTGTATGTATATGGCATATGTAGTGAATGTGACTTGTGTAATTAAGAATTAAATGTAAACAGTGTAAAAGACGATTTATTGTGGAGATACAGACCATCCTCACCTGGTAAACTTCCCTTGGCGCGGACCCCCCCACGAGCGGCCAGCCGCTGGACCCCACGGGCCCCTGAAGCTGCGGGGTTGCGTCCCCCCCTGACTGGCCCACGGGCTTGCGGGCCACCGATTCGGCCACGTGGCACTACTCCACGGCCACGACCAGCCTACCCAAATAACATACCCAAATTGTTACCCCATAATTGTACAATAATTTGCATTATATTTACATTTCATTTAACTTTCTTTTCTTTTTCTTAATATTTTTATGTGTCTCTTCTGTTTTATATCTAATTTAGTTATGTACAGTATATCACGCAGTAGACCCTTAAAAATATAGTAGTAAATATAGTAATAAAATACATTAGAATTAGTATATATATCGCTGAATGATCAAGAATTTTTTCAGTATATATATGTGCATTTTATTCGTAATGCTCATATTTGGAGCGTAGACGTACATACAAGACTTTTATATATACGTATACATCCATGACGATATAGCATGAAAAAAGACGAATAAATAACAGAGAGAAGGGAAACAAGAAAGTTATGGAGAGGGAGGAACAATGATAGAATGAGAAAGAAGGAAGAAAAAAGAAAAATGAGAACGTGGCAGAAGTAAATCACCTATAACCAAATTTTTACTAACCACGTTTTTACATACAGCAGTAGGAGTTAGCAGAGTTATCCAATGTAGTAAAGCGAAAAGCGAACTGATTGGTTGGCGTAGGAACTTTTAAGCGACACAAGCTATTGCACTGGCAGCTAAAACAAAATTCAACCAAAAGGCGTATTATATAAATAAGCGGCGCAGCATTGTTAAGCGTTAAAACAAATGTGATTTAAGCGTAAGCTTGGTTTTATATACATGGATATAAGGACGGTGGGAGGCTAAAGCGAGAACTGCAAAACATGTTCACTGGTGCTATATACGGGGGACGAATCCTCTCTATTCCGTCATCTATCTCCGTGGTCTTTATCATACCTACGCATAATTCAGTGTACAAGTAATAAAATATTATTAATAAAGTATTACTAATCGTCACGTGACACATATACGATAAATCATTTGTAAATAGATTACTGATTTGAAAAGTTTGAATGACGTTTATCATTCCTTAATTCCAATACTGCTGTTTATAATTTGCGACGAACTTTTCCTCCTGCTTAATAAAAATAAAATTGCCATATTGAATTGATTTATTTTTTTGAAAGTTAAATCGACGTATGTATATGTTACGTAGTCACATCTGTATATCGGATATACAGAGTGACAATAATCATATCACCTCTCGTGAAAAAATTTGTAGAAATATTTGTGAATATTTGAAGAGATTATAGTAAACATACTATGTATGCGCTATATACAGAGTGTTTAGTAATAACATCTTGCAGATAGTAGAGCAGGTTAAATTAAATAGAAAAATCTTTTATTATTTTGCAAGTTTGCAATAATTAATTTTTTAATAATTATTACAAATAGGTTTTTTTATTCAATTTAATCCGCTTTACTGTCCACAATAGGTAATACAATTATCACCAGATTACACATTTTGTACGTAGCGTATACATAACTTGATTGGATTTCTTCAAATATAGAATATCAATCATAATAAGAATACGAGAATTAATTTATATTTTGAAGAAACTCAATTCCAAGAATCCGATGCATACAACATTATCATTTACACGAATATAGTTATATTTAATAGTACAGAACTAATTTAACAGAAAAAAATTCAATCTCAAATCACAAAAGAATAAACTCCATTTTATTCTATATCCTTATCTATACTTGTAATTTAAATTTGCTTTTTTTTACTTCAGAGAAATTTATAAAATAAATATTTGTATTTTTTTTTTTTTTTTTGAAATAAGAGATTCGATAATTCTACTTAAAGCGAAGATGTCTACAATGATAATCTGATGGTAAAAATTTGTGAAAGAAAAAATGGAAATTGAAGAAACATGATACGTGAATATTGAATCGTGCGGATGCAGCAAAACAAAAATAATAAATCATAATTTATAGGTATCAAAAAATTGGAACAGACTAAAACATTTCCTCAGGAGGAATCATCTAGGAATATAATCGAGGTATATAATCGAGATAACGTCCAAAATAAATAATAAAGCAAAATTAATGTTAGAAAAAGGTTCAAGATAATGCGAAAACAATTCGAAAAAAATTCTTATTTGTCTATCTCTTCTCGAAAGCAACGGGGCTAACTACATCGTACTATATAACGTATACATCATATAGCACGGGGAATATAGTAACATCAAATAATACATGAGTGCGCATGTCATGTGTTATCGCAATAGCAAGGCACTGCCAAGAGAAAAAGTTGATCGCAATATAAAAATATAATAAAAATGAAACGATAAAGTAAATTTTTTTCGCGCAGGGTGCCCATACGCTCCCTTTTGTCATGTTTGGATAACCCTGTAACTTGACATAGAAAAAGTGTAACATCATATCCGAGCCACGAGACGCAACGTCGCTCTAAGACAAAAAAAAATAAATTATTTGTACATGGAGACTGTAATATATAAAGAACGACGACAAGATATACAAAAAGTCCTGTACACTGCTTTCTGCCTACATCTGGAATTCTCCTGAAGCTGCGCTAGAATAATAATGAAGGTGGAATAGTGTTAAGGGATCCTGCAACACTGTAAAATGTGCGATCTTCTTCCTTGAGAGGATTTATATAAAGATAGATATTTATCTTCAAGTTTCTGTTTTTTAATCCGCATGTTTTTCCCTTTTCTCTTTATTCTCTTTATGTTTTTTAATTTAAATTGCTTTTCCCGGCTATATCTTGGTTGAAAATTTAGAATGGGTCTACCATGGCTCAGATATGATTAGCAAGCAATTTGAAAGTGGCAATGTGTTCGGATTACAAGGTCTAATCTTAGTATCGAAGTTTTGATGTTAGTACAGTATAGATTCATGTAGGGGTTATATAAATATAATAACATTCATAGTACGCTCTTAACAGCATTCTTTCCTGCTCTCTTTACCCTTCTCCTCCTCCCCACACACATACGCACACGCACGCACGCACGCACGCACGCACGCACGCACGCACGCACGCACGTACCCACGCACACATACACCTTGGATTCATTAAAAATTTTATAGGTCAGATAAATAATGTACTGTGGATGTGTATTTAACATTATAAAATCAGGATTATATTAAGATGTCTTCCTACGAGTTAATAATGATTATAATAAAAAATAGCGCATACCTAATTAGCCAGCGTTAATTTACACGCTCAAATAGAGAAAATATATGACAGATATTGATCTGGATGAAAAGTTGGAGAGAAATACGAAATATATTAGGAGAATCCGTGAACACTGTGCCACAGTCAAACTACTGCTAGTATAAAAAAAAAGTAATAATGATTTCAGGAACGAAAACGACTTTTTAGAACCATTAAAAAGGCGACCCACCGGTTGAGGCTGCCTGCCTCTCCCTCTGGCAGGCGGCGGAGGCGGCGCATAATCGAAATAGTAATCTTCATATCGATAATAGTCATCGTAATAGGGATCACTGTAGCCACCTCGATAATCCCCATAACCGTAATAGTCGTAATCATAATCTATAAAAACACACATTACAAATAGACCCAAATTTAGCCACGATATCCAATTGACAACTTACTGAGATATAATATAATACTATTTCAATATTATAAGAAAGGCATGCCGGGAAAAGATAATTTGGAAAATGCTAATATACAATAGAAATAAAAGAGAAAGAAAAACAAAAATAAATTTAATCGTATATCGAGAATAAAATATTTGTGTGGAAAATATGATTTCGATAAAAAAAAAAAGAAAATTGTAAAAACACTCAGTATATACAAATATCATACAAAACTGCGTAATGATTACCCTACCACCATCACATTTCCTGAGATAGAAAATTGTAAGGCCATTCAAAAATTTCACATTTATCCCAGATAAAAAAGTTACTGAAATGTAAAATCATTTTATAAAAAAAAATAAATACAAAATATTTGAAATATTAATTAACAAATATAAAAAAATAACTTAATCCTCTCATAAAATGTAATTTATATGCGCATAATCTTATCATTTCTAATTTTTTAAATTCTATGAAGGCATTTAGAGTAAACATTTCTAAAAATGAAAAAAAAATGAATATCTTCTACAATTTAAAAAATATATGAAACAGTATAATAAAGAAAAATATCTATAAATTTCATTAGAAAAAATTAATTTTCAATGACCTCACAATATATACTTAAATTGGGCATTAACATAAAAAGGAAGAAAATACACAGGACTACGTATGATACTTTACAACTGTTGCATTCATCATTCATCACGGCTTACCTATTTCCTGGAGAGCTGTAAACAGATTTTGAACTGATGATGCATTGTACTAGGTACACGAGGTTCACATACGCTCACGTATATACAAATGAATGAAAAAAAAATTATATAAAAATTATCCTTGGCGATGCATATGATATTCTATGTACTATCAGAAAATAATTCTCACTGAGGCACTAAACAAAAGTACAAAACAAATGAGAAAATATACATGCAATTATTTTTTGATAAAAAAAAACAGATATCACAGGAAGTGGCAGTGGTAAGGCAACAAGGTGTTCATATTACACAAAATGCTAAGCACACATCTAACATACATATATGTATTCATATACATATGTGTGTGCGTGTGTAATAATATCGTACAGATTAACAATATATATTCGTGATAAACATAATCATTATTCTTACGTAATTGAATTGTTCAAGAAAACTAATGAATGCTTTCAGTTTTATCTCAAAACTAGATACAAATTAGACATAATAAATTACAAATAAATAAATTTATATTTTTACGATCATTTAATGATGTATCTGAATAAAATCTCTAATTATAATCTAATTAAACAATTTGCATATTTAAGTATTCAAAAACAATTTATAATATATCATAATATAACACGTTTCACATGAATTATATAAAAATAATAATTTATCAATATATACAGAGTGTCTCGCAATTAATAATAAAGTGTTCTTGTTTAGATAGAACGGACTACTGAATCGAAGTCCTCTATCATTTTGCAATTTTCGCACTAGTTATAACTAGATGTTAATTACTAAAAATTGCCGAATATATCTTGAATAATTTTTTACTCAAATACTATCAACTTTACAGAAAAACTGCAAGAGACAAAAATCATTTATTTTCTTCTCATAGAGCTCTAAAAATTTTTTCAGAATTTTGTATCAACTTTTAGTACTGCATTTTCTTATTTTTACCAACAGAGAAAATACGATATTAAAAAATTCTGAAAAAATTCTGAAAAAATTCTCAGAACTTTATGAGAAGAAAATAAATAATTTTTGTCTGTTGCTGTTTTTCTGTAAAGTTGATAGTATTTAAGTAAAAAATTATTGAAAACCAATATTCAGTGATTTTTAGTAATTAATATCTCGTTAAATCATGCGAAAATTGCAAAATAGTAGAAGATTTTTCGATTCAGTTTAGTCCGCTCTATCTATACAAAAATAATTTTTTGAATTATAAGCTAACTTTAAATGCTTATAAGTAAAAAACCATTTTAGAGCCTCTATTATTATTTCTGAATTCTTTTGGATATTCTAAGACAAAAATCCTAATACGAAAATATTGAGGCTGTAATAGTTTTCGAATTACACACTATCTTTAACTAATTATAATTCAAAAACTATTGTAGCCTCGATATTTTTATATTAGAATTTTCATCTCAAAATTACCTCAAGAATATGTCCTTAAAAGGAAATTCGATTGTGAGACTCTGTATATATAATACACATATGAAAAAAGATTAATATTCTCAAAAAATATATAAAAAAGTTATATCAAATAATCTATAATTATTCCTAGATTTTTTTTATGTCAGTTTATCAGTTTGATGATACATACTTATAGCAATAAATAATAATATAACTGTAATAAAAGAATAAAAAATGATTTTGGTCAAGAAAAGATTCCGATCAAAAAACTATAATGTATTATGGAAATTAGAAAGTATTTTTTATTCACACGTTCAAATAACTTATCATGCGCGTAAGCCAAGGTATATGTAATGAGATAGTAAAAAATTCCCAAAAGCATGCAGATGTTTGTTATGTAATTATTTCGAAAATCTCGGGACATCTAAATAATTTTTAAATAGTTCAAGATAAAAGATTGAAATTTATAGAGATACAATGAATCATAAAATCTATTACTTAACTTCGAAAACATTCATCTTATCACTTATTTCTATATTATTCCTATCGTTGTTTTTGTTGCTGTTGTCTCACATTGGGAGCTTTCCAGCAATAGATACAAATTGACACAAGAGTCATCCTGTCATTGTTCGATAATCAGTAAGAAACAAAACAGAATTACTTTTGTGTCAATTTGTGCTTCTGCTGAAAAGCTCCCATAGTATCTAGGGCCTAACACCCCTGAAAGGTGTGGGAAAAAGGGGGTTGGAAAATCTTAAATGGAATGTCGGTCGAATGAGAACTCGTTTGAAAATGCTTTCCAGCAAGAGCACAACGCAGAATGAGGTCTCTACAATTTTTTTTCGCAGAATTATGATCATTTAAACGTTGTTATTGAGGTGTACCTTCCAACAAGCGACACAAATGATACGGTGTGACACAATGGATCATTACATACTTGTTTGCCAATGTTAAACAAAAATGACATGATCACTGTGTCGCACTATGTCGCTTGTTGGAAGGCATACAAGATTTTGCGGTAGCGAGGGCCCACGGCAAAAGCGTGAGAAAGATAAGGCTTCGCGCGGACACACGTTTCTGAGTGGATGGAAGTGCATGCCGGAGAGTGTGCAGTGTGTGCGTGCATGCACGCGCGTGTGTATGCGTGCGCGCGTGCAAGACACAGGCAGAGGTCAGGACCCCACGGTTCGACACTTCTGCGGTATTTAACAACCAAGTGAGCTAAATAATCATAACTATATGCAAAAAAAATCATAAAAATCCTAATTGATCCGCGTTATTTTTATCTTGAAAATCCATTCAAACGAGCCCTTACTCACTCGCCCTGACCATATGTCATTTAAGATTTTTCGGGCTCCATCTCCTGATTTTCGAAGTTAAATAATTTTATGATCGTATTGTATCCTTATAAATTTCAATCTTATATAATCGAACCATTCAGAAGTTACTTAAGTATCCTGGAACTTTTGGCAAACACTATACATATACAGAGTATCACAAAAAGATCAGCCATTGGATTATCTCGAAAACATAACATTTTCGGAAAAATTTTCATATGAAAGTAGAATATCAAATTACCCATCATGTGGTGATATTACAATCCGATTATGTGACCTCTGTATGATGCACTTAACGCCCGTAATAGTAACAGCAAATATCTCGAATAATTTTTAGTCAAATGAAGTCTAATTATACTGTTTTGAAAAAATCGATGTTGGCTACAAAGATTTACAATAAAAATTAGGGGTGTCCATTTACAAAATTTGAAGTGACCTTAATTGTGATTACCTGAATGACATTCTCAAGCTAATATTAGTCAAATTAATATCATTATATAATGGGTAACTTGGTATTCTACAACTTTTGTATGAACAAATTTTTTTGAAAATATCATCTTTCCGAGATAATTTAATGTCTCGACTTTTTTGTGATATCTCATATATATTCATATATATATATATATATATATATATATATAGATACACACATATATATGTGTATATGTATATACAAAATATATAACTATTTAATATACTAAATATTTTGAATCTGAAATAAATTAAACAAAAAGTTATAAACATAAAAAAAAATTATGTATAACCCAAAAATTATATATATCTTCTTATAAATTTATATACACTTAGTAAATGAATTATAACATACGTATTAATTTATATGTAATATTTTACAATATTTTAAACAGCAAAACTTCTATAATCTCGATAAAATTATAATTATTAATTTGTTAATTCTTTCTTCACATATAAAATATTAATTACAATCTTGATATTACATAGCTTTAATAATTATAATTTTAGTACATGATATACTAAATATCATGTAGTACCAATATAATAATTCAATAGTGATAACAAGAGAAATAGTTAACATTTAAATGAAAGTTATTAAAACTGAAAACAATAAAATTATATAAGCGTATATATCAATATATATCAATGTGATATAAAGAATTATTGAAATTTTTATTAGCACAAAAATTGAAGTTGCTGTTCTGTTAGGGCGTTGTCGAAAAATACATGAACCAATACAGCAAAAGAGTAAAAAAAAAAAAAGAATTCAAATTGGTACTAACCATAATCGCCTCGTCCCATTTGTCCACGCATACCTGCACCAGTACCCCGAGGTCCCTGTGCGGGCCCACGAACTGGCATTGGACCTCCCATCATGCTCGGATGAGAAGGAGATCCACTGTAAAAAGGAAAACTATATAACACCTTTAATTTATGAATAAATGAAATAAAGTAATTTACAGTGGAATATAATGACACACAAATAATACGATTAATTAAAAATAAAATAGCAATAACTTACCCGCCTCTGCCCTGTAACATTTGCATCATTCGTCTTTCCCTGGCGCGCAACATCTCTTCCTTCTTCTTTTTATCAGATGGTGGTTTTGCCAATGAAACTTCTATGTGGGATCCACCCATTTCCTTACCATTTAATTCGTTCATTGCCTTAAGAAAATACATACATATATTTAAAATAAATTTTTATTAGAGATTATTAAATGGAGTATAACTTGATACATTTTTTACCTTAACGGCATTATCTCTATCTTCAAAGTGTATAAATGCATAATCCTTGATTTTTTTCACTCGCTCAATTTTGCCATATTGTTCAAAGCTTTCCTTCAGTTTTTCTTCAGAACAATCTTGCGTTAAATTTCGTACGTAAAGCACACGCACCTAAAACAAAATAGATTTATCATTTTTTTAACACGCAAAAATCGAAGACTAACACAATGATAAAAATAATTATATTTGATTATATATGATGAGTCATTTACTTTGGACATAGTTTGTTCGTCTGGTTCCTCTTGAGGGTCGGCCCAATCAACAATAATATCACATCCCCAAACTTTAATACGTCCAGTACTTAACCTTCGCTTGGCTAAGGAAGCTGCTTTGTGAGATTCGTATTCCAAAAAGCAAAAACCTCTATTCTTCTTTTTGTCATCTGGTGAACTGTAGATAATCACCTCTGTCAGGCCAGCTATATGTCAAAAAAAAATCATACAAAAAGCAGATAAGATTTATTCGAACTTTATGCGATACTCGTAAAATGTTCAGAATTGTTATATATAATAAAAAATAGAAATAATATTCTCAAAATAAAATATAAATTCAAGCAGCTATTATAATTTTATATACGATATTTGCCGTGAGCGAGAGATTTGCACTATGTTTCAAGTAATAATGACTATACCTATCTTGAATATTTTTAAATTTACAATATTCATGTTAAATTATATATTATAATAATCGTTTTATCATACAGAAAATAATTATCATATATCAGTTTACATTAATATTATTAACATTATCTACATATTCGTAAAAACATCGTAAAAATTCGTTATCATATGTAATTTTTGATTTTTTTTACAGATGTTATAATTCTATATCTATATATGTAGCATAAGAATACTATTTAAGAAAAAAATTAAATAAAGATAAAATTAAAAGAAAAAATATAATTACATTAAGTGTTCGACATTAATTAATCTGTATCCTAAAACATTTATACGTATCTTTATATAACAAAAAGTTACATTATATTGTTTGTTAAGTCTTTTCTGGACATTGTTATGTTCCTATTTCATAAATTATAAATTTTATTTATTTATATTTGCACGTTTGAGAACAAACACACGTAACATTCAATAAAAAAAGAAAAACAAGCTTCAAAAATGAATTTATCAAGTAAAATTTCTTTGACAAAAAAACTATTCGAGGATTAAAAATAAAAGAAATGAAAGAAACATTACTTCACCAAATGCTCACAATCTATGTCATAATAAAATTTCAAATAAAAAACTACAGAAAATCAGGATTAAAAGAACAGAAAAAATAGACACTATTAATAGCTACAAAGAGAGAGACTGCAAGCTCCAAATTCTGTAAAACACTCTTTATCAGAATAGTTATATGTATATTAATACATATACATATATTTTTTAGCATTTCTTTACTAAATCTGTATATTTTTGAAGAATTTGAGAGGATTATTTAATTCAAAAGCATATAAATATTATTAAGAAGAATAATTTTCATGCTATTAGAATTCCCATGCATTATAATTATTCAATTACATGTACATAAAGAAATCGACATTTTTAATATCATATGTATATAATTATTATATCCTTCCTCTCTCAGTGTCTTCTAATCTTATAAGATGTAAAAATATCGTTTTCGTTATATTAAATATACATTCGTATTTTTCGATTTGATTTCACTCCGATCTAACTTAACAGAGCTTTTCTGGAAATAGCAGTAAAAGTACTGAAAGATTGCCAAACAAAAAGCAATTTAGTAATTATCACTAGGCAACTTAATTAATCTGACATCATTCCTCTGAATTTTTATTTTCAGAGATAGTCTTTCTCTCCTTCCTCTCAGTTTAGAAGTTATACTACCTCTAGATAACAAGGCATTTTGTACGTATTTTTAAAATAATAAATCTTAATTTTTAATAATAAAGCAGTAAATCATCGATTTTGTATGTACTAAATCCACAAAGAGTAATCATAATAGAGTAATTTTTATAATTACTCACTAACTTTATTGACTAATATGCATAAAATATAATTCACTTATACTTTATTCATTATTCATAATAAATACATCAATTCTCTTAGTTTCTTGTCTGTCAGTTACATTATATAAGACATGCGGAAATCAAATGCTCATTGTTGTTAGATGCCTTGTATCATTATATCGTATTGACTGCTCTCCTAAAATTAATTTTTCGATCATTTCTATATAAATTTAATTATTCAAGGCGTTTGCCTTTATCATCACTTTTATACATTGATCTCCTCTCTGTGTCCATATATTAATGTTACATGCAAGAATCTTATGCACATACATACGAAATATAGTGATGATCACAAACACATTCATTCGATCACACTGATCATTCTCTTTTGCCATATTTACATTTATACTATACAAAAATAATATACCTTTCATATTAAATTTAACATCTGAAATTAAAGATATCACAATAAACACACAATTATTCATTCATGAAATACGATTGTGTCTCTATTTTATGAATATGTTTAATTTTGTGTACAAAAGAAATATATATTTTCTATTTCAAAATACAAATAAAGAAAATAAAACTGTTATCATTTCTTAATTATATGTAAATAAAAATATCAATAAACGATACTAGCTGAAAAATTTGCATTCCAATTTTGAATTTTGTGTCCCAAAACCAAATACTCGTAATAATTTCTCAAAAAATTGTATAAAGTATAAAAACTCATATACTTTTTCTGTCTTTCCCTCTTCTTTCCTTTTTTCTTTTCTTTCTTCCCTTCTCTCTTCCCTCCCTTTCATTCTGTTCTTCTCTCTTGTCTACCTACGCACGCGCGCGTTTTTATGATTGTGCGTGCGTGCGTGTGTGTGTGTGTGTGTGTGTGTTTGCGTGCGTGTGCGCGTGCCTGTGTGTGTGGAGGAAAAAAATTAAATGAGCATATAAATGGATGGATGGATGGATGGATGGATGGATGGATGGATGGGACAGTCAATGGATAAAATGGACAGTCGTGCACGCGCGTACATGTGTGTATGTATGTTTCAAATAAAATAAACTCAGTTGGTTGTAGGACACAATTACGAATGTCTACTCATTGCAACTATGCACGTTTTGCAAACGAAAAGTTATTAGAAATGAAAGGAATTATATGATAAGAAGAGTTCACATTTGGCTTATAAATAAATTGGTCAGCGTTACCAAACATCAATAATATTTTCGAAAATGAATAATGAAAATTTCGTTTCTCCGAGTACCAATTCACAACAAAATTTTTGTTTCACATTTATGCAAGAGGGCTGGATTTAACCCACCTGGCACCTCTGCTACTGATTAGAGAAAAACACCTGATTTGTTACAAGATGATAAATTTTTTGTCCCATTATATCTCCCAGAGAACTTCCATTTGGTTACTGCTTGCTGATTTAAGGACAATTGTCAACTTACGTGCGTGCTTTGTAAACTCTTCGAACAAGTCATCTCGGTCTCGATTCTTTGGAATATTTCCCACAAACAAGCGGTGATTGTTATAAGATACGGTAACACCAATCTTTTTCCCTTTCCGAATCTCATAATCATTCAGCTGTAAGAATAATGTGGAAGGAGAGTGCCAATTAAGCTTGCCATTTATGATTTCACCTGCTTATTGGCTGTCTGAACGTAGGATTTCATGAAATGTCCTTGAGGAAAGAGGGTTGGTTGTAAGGGGTGGGATGAATTTCATTTATATAAATATAGGACTATTATTCAAAGGATCATGGACATTTTGATAGTTTGAGAGGATCAATATTATACAGGGTGGGTGGGAGTGCCTGTCCGTTTGTTAGCGAGCCAAACGCCCCAGCGGTCCACGCAAATCTCCCATACCCCCAAAGCTTAAGACTTAGTGATGAATTACATTTGCATATTGCAAAATTGCAATGGTGCAAGACAGCGTATATTTTTGTCACAGTACGTAAAATAATTCTTAATCTAAAAGTATCATACGGCTTCCACATTTTCTCTTTCCATTATCTCGCTTCTTTTTTACCGTTCCAAAAAAAGAAGACGAAGAAGATATCAGTAATAAAGATTGATGAATTGATCAGTTGCATAAATTCAAGGACGGGGAACTCAAGAGGATAATAAGGTATTTGCATGTATAGAATAGGAAGCAGATAAACTCATAAGTCAACCTAAATATGCAAGGAAAAGAAGACTTGGACCAGAGAGGTGTTACTGTTCACTAATAAACCGAGAGGCAAGGAGACTGACCAGAACTAAAGGTGCCATAAGGTATATTCGTAGATCATAAAATCAATGTGATCCTTGGATGCTCCATAGTTCCATACCATCTACAACCACTACTTAAAAGCTAGCACTCTTAAATTATACAATACAGGTAGACAGGTAGGTAATAGGTAGGTAGGTAGGTACACACGCCTCGAATTCACTTTACCTGTTAATTTACCAAATTCCTCCAAGATCTCCTCTTTGCCTTTTGACTTTGGTATGTTCCCCACGAAAAGACGTAGATTAGGAACGCTAATGTTTACTTTCAGACTCTTGCCGGGTTTTATTTCGTGATTATCGAGCTGTGGGATGCAGAAAACAGACACATGCCTAATTTTGTTCCAATGAGGCGGTTTCATGGTTTTTAAGTTAAGATAATTACGGCAGATATGACGGAATTTGGGAAAAAATTTTCTAAATATGCAATTTAATACGAATATTAATTATTAACAATGATGTAAGTTCACGAAAGCGAGAAAGTGGCATGCGCTTTGTCGCTCGAGTCTTCACAATATAGCAAACCGGCCTTTCATGTACTCCTGTAAACAAATTTTAAGCCTACCAATTTTCAGAATTTTGTTACAAAAATTGTCACTGTCCAATGAGAATCAACCAATTAGATAAATATACCCCTAACCAATTAGACCACACAATCATCATGATTTTCAGAAAGGTTCTCCACTCCCAATTTTGCCCTCTGAGCAAAGAGGAGAGCTGGAAAAGAAACTCATCCATAGGACATCATTAATATATATTTTTCAGTGTTATTAAATAGGATCAGTGGATGTAATTGCGTATTTAAACACGAATAAATGGTCAGGGACATATACATATAAAACATATAATATGTGGATTGTTCCTACGTATGTGTGTATGTGTATAATGAAATTACGTATATATGTGTTTTCATTTATTTCGAAATATCTCACCTAACTCTCGAGCATTTTAAATATCTTTGCTATTCTAAATAATAGAAAAAATTCACACACAAGTTACAAAATTTAACAAACTTAAAAAACACATAATGTAGTAATAATGCTTTCGTTATGCAGAAACATGAAACATTTTGAGAATATTTCTTTTTTTTTAATAAAATTAAAATATGATTTTTCTTACATAAATCTTCTAATTATTTCCCATATAAAAGTAAAGCCTGCGGTACACGATGTATCTTTTTGTTGCTATTGCTTGTTTTAGTAAATTATTAGAATTGTACCACACAGACAGCAGAATTTCTACTAATTTATCAAAACGCAAACAATTCAATAGGAAAAACAGTATTATATACTGTAGGCTTAATATAAAAATATAGAGATGAGGTTATTTAAAAAAATTAATTTTTTTCGAGATATATTTTATGCCAAATTATGCCACATTAAAACATTAGATATTTTGATAAGTTATTGATTTTTTAATTTTATGTTAACAGTTTTATACAAGATAAAACAAGAAAAGTTTTATACAAGATAATCAGAAAAAATCACCTTTGATCAGAAGATAAAGTTTTATTTATATTAAACTTATTGCTTTTTCTGAAAAGGGCTCGAATAAATAGCCGAAACATGTAAACAGTTCGAATTTATGAAATTAGATTTGAATAATAACTCAATGTAATTATCAATTGAATATATAAATTGTTATACACAACAAATTCTGTGATTGGCTCTTCGATACTCTGTCATTTTATATATTTATAATTTATATTATTTAAAGACCTCTATTATTATTATTTTACTTAAATTTTAGAAAAATCATATTTGATTTAATCATATTTGATTTAAATCAAATTGCCCCTAAAATCTCCTTCACATCTCCACATATAAGTATAATGAAATATTGTGTCACTATACAGGTTAACAAAAAATCTCTTTAAAATATTTTACCGGTTTCGAATTTTTTTATCACTCGGTATGATATGTCATTCACAAAACCATAGAACCATGTAATTTCAACAACTTTTTCTTATTATTTAGAATAACAAAGATATTTCAAATCCTCGATATCAATGAGAAAACTTATATGTATATGAATCACATACTCATGTACATATGCCCCCCCCTCTTTCTTTCTCTCTTCTTTCCTTTTACTCTTTTTTTTATTTTCCTTTTTATTTTACTTTCTCTCTTTTTCTCTCTCTCTCACACACACACACACACACACACACACACTCTCTCTCTCTCTCTCTTTGTCTTGCTTTTTCATTCGTTCTTTCTTCCTCGTTCCTTCATTCTTTCTTGCACACAATGCATATGTACATATGTATGCAAAATTTATATTTTTTCTAAATTGTGTATATATTTTTAAAAATGTGTAAATTCAAAAAATTATAAAAATAAATTTAATAAATTAATATATCTGCGTTAAATCTACTGGGAAACAACGAAATATAAAAAAGATAATATAGAACAAGCCACATAGGAATATAGTAACACTCATTCGAAATGTTCAACAGAACACAAACGTGTGAGTGTGTGTGTATATATATATATATATATTCATATATATACACACACGCACACGCACACGCACCATCATCAATGGGTAATTCAGCCGCAGCTCATATTAAAATATTATTTAAAACAAAAACTAAAATATATCAGTATTTTAAATTTAATATATAACTAAATGTGAAACATTGTGTGACAAAGTCAAACTTCTCTATTTAATTAATAAACATTTCGAAAAAGCACTATTATGTTGGTAGCAATAACAATTTTGTAACATTTCTAAAAATTTTGAAAATAAAAAGATAAAAGGATCCTTAATCTATGTGTGTGTATGACAATACGTTAATAACTAAGAAAAAAAAATTTATATATTGTACGAAAATATACACAATAATAATATTACGAAAAGATCTAAGGAAAAATATTAACATACCTCTCGAACAGCCTGCTGCGCAGCTTCCCTATTAGTGAATGTGATAAATGCGTATCCTCTGTTGGAACCTGACATGGGATCCATCATCAGTCTCAAGTCCCAAATTTTTCCACATTTCTCAAATAATGGAATTAATTCGTCTTCATACATGTCTTTTGGGATTTTGCCACAAAATACCTTTTTATAAAAATATTTGACATAAGTTTAATAATAAGTTTAATAATAAACAATTTATATATCAAAATATTTTATATATTCCCTTTAATAACTGCACTATATACGCATTACGTTTCTTGTTAATGCAAATCATGATTGCTAGAGATTTTGGGAAATTTTTATATGTCAAAAAAGATAATTTAAAAATATTAGTAAAATATATTACACATTGCATTTGTAATACATAAAACTAAATATATACATATGTAACAGCATTGTGTATGCGCGCGCGCGCGCGCGTGTGTAGAAGCGGGGGAAGGGAGGGGGGGACAAAAGGCGTGCGCGCGTATAATTTATATAGAGATAAATTTACCTCACAACCAGTGCCAGGAGTTGGACCCTCCCAATTTGGTGGAGGACCACCATATTTTCTTTGTCCAGTAGTTACATCCAAAGGATATCCCGTTCTTTCCAGAATTAACTAAAATATAATTATTTAAATATAAAATAATTATAAAATAGAGTATTTAGATATCTAAATAAATTAAAATAATATCTTTAT